ACATACACAAAAGCTTTTCTTTGCCCCCGTGTACGCAGTCGATTAATTTTTATTCATCTATTTTTTACGCCGCGCTCCCCGGTCGCGCGAGCGCCCTTTGAGCGTCCTTTGCGCTCCGCCGGCGCGAGAGAGAGAGAGAGGGAGAGAGAGATCGTGTGTCGAGTTCCGCAAATTGTTCATCCCGCCGCGGAAAAGTTTCAACGGGCCGCTTCGTCGTTTCGCGTTCTCGGGAGCTTTGACGTGCATTATGCGTTATCGTGCGTCGCTGCTCGCGGAATGTTTCCTACCTGCCTGCTTGTGCGAGAGCCTGAGCGGTAGTCGCCAATGTTATGGTAGCTCGCTGCTGGAATTTCAGAGAGGAGCAAGTTTTACGGAAGGTACGTCCTCGTTCCTGCGCGTTTCGTTTTGTATACACGAGGATTCGTACATACGTTCTCGCGTGCGAGTCGTATATATGTATATTAATGCCTCGTGGTGGCCGTACACATGCATTATCCAATAATCGTCGCGATGACGAAAGTTTCGTGTGCAAACAGAGAGAGGGTGGGAGGGAGGGAGGGAGAGAGCCTCAGCGCACCGGTGTGCATTCGCGAGTATCAAGCCGCGTGTAAGTTCAGCAAACATCATTACGCCGCGACTCTGTAACGAATGTGAGGCCGCGGGGTTTGTTAATTAAGAAGATACGTCAGCCCACCGTGTTGTTTAATGCAATCTGTTCCCCGGGAAACCCTCGACAAACAGTCCTCTCGGTCCTCTCTCTCTCTCTCCTCCCGCAACTCGTATCGCGAGACGCGCACTTAGTCGTGCCCGCAAGAATGTGATCTGCGCGCGAAACTGAAAGGAATTTATTATCCGTCCAATTAGGATGGATAATTATGCAGGATGTCCGCCGCTACGTCGGCGCGAGCTTGTTAGTCGTATAATTCATGCGGGAACGTCATGCGCGCGCGAGTGTTGAGCCATTACAGATCAGACTTACGTCATCCTTCTCTTTCGCCTTCGAATCGTGTCGCGCGCTCGAAAACGCGGGGCCGTAATTATCGTATATATTTTTTATTCAAATCTCTTCTCTCCCGACGCAATTGCGTCACTGGGCTTTGATGAAATTTTTACCCTTAATTAAACCGGTATTACCGCCGTGCGCGCACGTGCGTATCGCGCGATGCGTATCAATGTTTAATGCACACATCCGACAATTATATCTGCCGCAGTGAGAAATTTGTCGATGCAAGACAATCATCAATTATTCTTTCATTGGGGGATAATCCTTTTGAAACGATCGCGCCCGTACTGTGCGTATACGCACAGGCGCGCAACGTCGGGCGTCGTCGAGTAGAAAATATCATCTCGACCCTCGAAACTCGTTATGCACAACTTCGTTACGTATCGCACGGCTCCTACATCATCCCTCTGTCATGTCGCGTGTTATCATGTTAGATGCCTTGGCGACGGCAATTGCGCGGGCCGGACTGAGGTGAGAGATCGATGCGGGTTATAAATGAGAACCACCGGGTACCACCGATCGTATATGTTTTGCCGGTGTCAGCACTGCTCTCGCAACGTGACGAATTGCGCGCATCTATCGCGAGACGCGCCCACCCCGCGAGAGACAATCCCGCGGCGTCGCGACGCTGTCACACGCATGTCGCGCCGTCGTTACGTAATAATTATTCACACACGGCTACGTCTCCAAGATCCAGAACGCGGCAGATTAGATTCTGTCTATCAATTTCATCCGGCGATGTAACCGGCGCGCGCGCTCCCCGCGGGTTGCCCGTTGCTCCGTCGGTATTAACCAACAATATCCCCGCCGGTTCGGTCCACGCTATGATTAAGACCATTATTTGTCATCCGTTGCGTGCCCGATGTGTGCTAATTTTGATCTATCATTTAGCCCGCCTAATTCAACGACGGCCTTTCATCTCGCGTTAATCCGCTGCGCGCGCGTTTCACGCTTTTGAACGGCCGCGATATACCTCTGATCGCCATGCACTTACGATGAATAATGATATCAATACGTGACTTGACAATTTTGCATATATCACCGTGCTACGTTGGCTTAACGTAAATTAACAAGCTGTGTAGAAAACGGATTATTGGACTCTCTCTCTCTCTCTCTCTCTCTCTCTCTCTCTCTCTCTCTCTCTCTCTATTGTCGTATTTGCGTTAAAAATACGTACAGACAGACGTATTGCAATAGACAGGCCTCGACAGTCACGATTTAATGAATTGCGAAAATTAATCGATCGCATTCTGGAAACAGTATATCTATGTAGCGGGCAAAGCAAAATAGAAGAGCACTTTCGCATGGGAAAACTGCGTACAATTATATCAAGCGAACATCTGTTTTGTCGAACTGAGATTTTCAAACATTCATCAATGCTTAGATCTGATTACTATTTTCTTTTATTAGATTGAATAGTATTTTCATTTATTTATTGTTTTGTTTTTGTTCAGTAAATGGATTCAGATTTTGCGTATCTTCCGTGTGCAATTACAAGCGTTGCATTTTGATAGAGATCCCAAGTAGTTCCTCAGTTAGTAGACAGACGTTAGTAAATTGTCCAGCTTAAACCACTCAAAGAATGGATTAAATTTTTACCAGTGTAGTTCACTATTAACCCCTTAACGCACAGTTTTTTTGAAAAAAACCGGCCAAAAAAATCAATTTTTTTATGTAAAAAAATTTTTTTCTTTGCTTCCACATTGTTATTTTCAATTTTCGATTATATTCGAATGTGAAAAATTATAGCAGCATAAAATACAACGCCGCTCGAATTATCTGGAGTGTGCACAGTTTGGCCTGTTTAGCGCGCTCGAATTAACTCGAGCGTACAAGTTAAGGGGTTAAATCACTATTATCTGCGATACTTATATCACCTGTGATGCATTGACATTATATATCATCAATCAGTTTGTGATATATATCTTTCGTATATTTCTTTTATTTTTCATATATTTTTCTTTCTTTCCTTCGACGACTGTCTATATCTTCATCATACAGTAATCTAAATCGTTGCTCTTATAGGATTTCTTGTAGAGTACAATAAAGTTGATTCTACTGTGTGTTTTATTTTATTCATTCTGTTTCATTCTTCTATGCATCACATAAAAGTTGACGGGAGCTTATTTGACGTTCGCACGCTCGGGAGCCTTTGGCTCCCGATAAAGCAAAATATGTCGTTACGCGTTAAACGCGACGGACAGAAAGGATACTCGATGCGAGATCAATCGCTTCGGACGAGGAGGAGGACCCATTTCGGTCGGTTGCACACACATTTCGCGAGATGCTGTGCATGCGCAGCGTGCATTGTTACGTGCGATTATTCACGAAGACGCATTCAAACTGGAGAACGGGCGGACCGGATCTCGTACGTTAGGTCTGACTGCTTGTCCCGGCGCTGGCAAACCGAGGCTGGCGAGATTACGACGGCGTCCGCCTTCCTCCTTGCCTCCGTCGTGTTGCTTACTGTCGGAAACACGGGGTTTCCCGCGAAGATGTCACTGTCCGAATATCTGCGGCGGTATGTAGCGAAAACCACTTCCGCCGGGATAGCAGCGCACATTCGAAAGTTGGCGAGGAGCACGGCGGCGCGCCGCCGCTCGTCCGGAAATCTCGCAACGTCATACTTTCGTACAAATACGGTTCTCCCGGTATCAGTCAGTGTCTGATATCGCCGAAATCCATAAGTCGGACGAGATAATCTTCTACGCGATATTATCGTCAGCTCGTCAGCCAAAATTCCATCACGTTTCGCGCATGTTGTACGACGGACAGCCTGTCAGAGAGATAATATCCTATCGAAAGATAATTAAGGCCTGGTTCTTCATTTCCTGGTTAACTTATGGGTTAGACTTAACTTATACTTAGTAATATATAACTTAATGATAATGTAAAAAGGTTGTACCTCCCCTCATAGTTAATCATGAAATTTCAAAAATTATCACTACAAAACCATCAGTTTTTAATGATCAACTATCAGTAGGAAAACACAATTTTTACATTACCATCAGCTGAAATCTAAACCGTAAGTTAAGAAAATGAAAAACCGAGCCAGAGTGTCATATTTCTCAGTCTCGATCTTTCTAAATCTTAAATGAAGAAATGCTATTGACATCGACCAATGTATGAACAAAACGGTATTACTCACTCGTGTCCTCATTTTGTTGCTTTTTGAAAAGAGGCTATTATTTCAGTTGCCGGCTATTAATACCATTTTATTCGTCAGATGCGGCTATTATCGAACACCCGAGATGAAAGGCAACCTCGACATAGCGGCGAGTGTCCTCGTCACGCGTATTGGGGACAAAGTGCATTGCAACACGTGCTCGTATTAAAATTGCTGTTTACGTCGATTTAATGTTATTTTCTCGACCGGGTCAATCCTGCAGGAATGACGGACATATATGTCGCTCGCTCGCACGCACACATGCATGTACTATACACGCAGATGCAGCAGGTGCGCGCGGCAGCTTATGTAGACGCCCGCATTTATTACGTCGTGAGGCGAGGCGCGGCAGAATCTCCGTTCGTTCCGGGTTTCGAACTGGAAACTCCCCGGAAAGCTTGCGGAAGTTCGGGGTCATAAAGAATCTGGGCGCACTCGTCGCGCCATTCCTGCCGCTTCTCTGCCCGCTCGCGATTTCCGCAGATCGACCTCGACACAGATTCTACCGTGTTATCGCGTCGAGGTAACCGAATCTCGCTGTGGAAATCGGTCTGCAAACAAATTCTCACTGTCGCGTATATATTTCGTAGTTCCGCGCCACTGCGCGGCGCACTTTTGCTTTTGCCCATTGCCGGTTTCTATGCCGAGAAAGATTTAATCAGGACAGGCAAATTCAGTTAATTAATATCTGAAGGAGAAACACAGTCGATCGATCGGGTGCGCGCGCGCCCCCAGGCTCGGTCTTCACAACTGGTGGTTTTATTTCAATCGTCCGCCACAATATTCTATTTTCGAACAGAGCACTTGTCCTGGCGTAACAGCGGCTTCGTTTTTCTTGCAGGTTTACGAGATGTACGTGACGGGTTATCAGTTCAAGGTGCTGTCGCCCGTGTTTACGGTTCACTGGGGATTGCAGACAAGAAAGAGCAGACCCGCGTGGCGCGAGCGTCAGAACAGTGCCAACAGAAAGCAGTTTGAAACATTCAAGAAGGAGGTGTTCGCTCGCTACATGCGGGACCCGCTCAAGATGATGAAGAACCCCGCCAACTGACGAAAGCCTCATCGAGGGTCTCGCTGATTCCAAGATTCCTCTATCATGTTTTATGTTCATTCTTAGGCTCAACATCGACGATTCGGAGTAGAATTAGGCCTCTGGCTACCAGATCAGTGGCTATCACCACGTAACGTAGTTGATAGATTCGGAGTGTAGCGTAGTTCACGCGATCGAACACGTCAACGAAGAACTCGTCATACAATGTGCGTCCTTTACCTTAGTTACTATTTTATAGCGATACGAAAACGATTGCACGATTTTTATATAGATTTTATAATTTTCTTTTCCCAACTTTCATCGTCTCTCTCTCTCTCTCTCTCTCTCTCTCTCTCTCTCTCTCTCTAAAGCAACTTACAAAATCGCTTAATATTTTCCTCGATCGTCATTTGCCTATTGCATCAGAAAGCATTTCCCAAGATTCCACACATAATACGTTTACACACAGAGAAAAATATTATTTATACTGCGAAGAAAAGCAATTATTCAATTAATTTTTCTTCTTTTAAGCAATGATTACCTTGAATAAAGAATATTTTCTTGAAGATAACATTAAAATATATTTATTACACATATTACAAAAGCTCACTATCATTTATTCAAAAGAAAAATTTGTTCTTTTTTTCAAGAATATTATAAACTTTATCGAAGAAAAAAGTTAGTCGGTTTAATTGAAGTATATATATATATAAGTAAATTAAAGTTTTAATTTTAATATTTTAATTTAATATTCTTGATTGCAGTGCTAAACTTATTAGGATTCAAAATATACATATGTATTTTGAATAAATTTTGATGCTTATGAGAAATTTATGATATACTTGCGGATATATAAACTTATGAGGGATACTTGAGACAAGTAATATTTACTTGAATGCAGTATATATTTTTCTGTGTGTGCGCAGAACGGGAGGAAATCTTTGACGAAAGGATGGTCACGAAAGATCTTATCCTCTGAGCAGGAACAACAGCGAAGCGCGCCGTTGAACACTGTGACGGAGCGTCCCGGTATGCTCCGGAGAGCGGATGCCAGATCGAGTGACCGCGATCGACGGATTCCCGCTACTTATCGAACCTTCCGGTTCATCGATTCCGCCAGGCGGGACCAACTACGCGAGGCGCTTGTTACTTCCACTCACGATTCCCCAAAGTCATCAGAGATCGCCATGCGGGATCGCGGAATAAATATCTCCTCGTGAGTTTCGCGGCACGTACTCGCACGCACGAGCGGGGAAACGAGGATTGAAGGAGTGAGCAAGGGGGGGGGGGATCTTAAGTGAGCGTATCTCGTTAACTGTCTAGGGTTTAAGAGGGTGGATGTTTAAATCCGAAATCGATACTGCGCTTGACACTGGCATAGCGCCCCGAACGTAAGATAATAAATGGAGAGGTATAAACAGTCGCGTCGATCGTTCCGTATACTTGTGTGACTATGAGAAGAAAAGGAACAAATCGATCGACGCGCGTCAAATTCCTTTATCGACGTATTTTTATCGACCACACTGGAAAACTCATTTAGTTGAATCAATTAAATTCTTAGGTCTGTTCGTTTACGCTGCACCGTTGAACTAGTGCAATAAGGTGAAGTGAGAAAACATATACTTGTCTCGCTTCAACTTATTGCGCTAGTTCAGCAATGCAACGAAAACGAACAGACCTCCTGTTTGACCATAGGCGAACAAATCTTTTGGTTATAAGAACCAAGGTTTAGTTTTCCGAACTAAAGGTTTGATTCTTTACAACCTCTGAAACTTCAGAGAACCAAACTTTCGGTTTGGACAATCAAACTTTCAGTTTAAACAACCAAATTTTGGTTATTACAATAAAAAAATTGGTGTGCCCATAATCAAATAAGAATTTAGTTGATTCAACTAAATGGGTTCTCAGTGCAGTGGTCAATTTTTCTCCAACGAAAAGATCGAGCAGCATCGAGCATTATTTATATATTTACTTATGCGCATATCTCAAAACTTCTTACAAAGCAATCTTACGAAGATCGAGTCCGAGATGGAAAAAGACAATAAAAAAAACTTTCGGTGGAACTTACTTTCAGTTCGGAACCGGATTTTAGCAAATACAATCGAATATTTGGGATTGTTATTGCAAGAAAATGGATACGGGAAGCGAAATGTAAGAAACCCACGTAGCCAAATGTGAAAAGAACAAAGATTGAAAAGTGCGAGGAAGAATAAGCGAGTAACATCGCGCCCTGCATATATCGAGCGATCGACTACATTTATGCGACACTGCAAAGCGCGGTGCGTTGTTTCGTTTAACATTTTAATCAAACCGCGCCGCGAGACATAGCTGCGACATGTTGATATTCCATCGTTTGCTTTACGTTACAGACTTACGGGATTAATTATGTTGGGCGAGGTGTTCCGAGGTTTGAAGGCAGGTTTGCAGGCGCATGTGGCCTCCATTTGCTCGCAGGCTGTATATAAGTTCAGCAGTGGCTACGATTATTCAATAAATATCGTCACCGGTAACGTTTCATCCGATTAACCTTCAGATAACACGCTCTCATTTTCTTCCTTAACTGACACGGCACGGTCTTTGGAATCTTGCGGATTTTCTTTTGTCATGGGCGAAAAAGACGTTTCGTTAATTCAGATTTCATTATTTCTATCTGGAAAAAACTAGGGGAGAGGAACGTGTAGTGAAAAGTATCGGAATTTTATTTTGTTCCAGGGACAAAACAAGAAAGCTCAATGCCGTGTCAATTGAGGATCGAAAAGTCAACGTTTATTTTAAGACACAGAATCATCTTTATATCATAATGTTTTTACCGATAGATGTAAAATGCTGTGTAGGCGATGTGTTGTGAGGTAATAAAATATAATAAAGAATTACGAAAACAATACTCTCTCTAGCGTCTCTTTTTTCTTTTTTTTCATGACAAGTTCGCGTATTGTATAAGATACTCCAGAAACAAAATCAAATTTATTACAAAACTTCACCTTTCCTTTCTCGGAACAATTGAACTAAGTGAAATATAAGTACGTTTAAAGTAACTGATTAAAACCATATTATACGAAAAATAAAATTCTGCATAAATTGCTTGTCAATTCAACGTAAGTTTATTTATATCCGCATAACATATTTTGCGTAATGTTTTCATACATTCCTCGAAGCATGATTGTCTTCTTACTCGAGCGAGGATTAAAATGCGACCGTGTTACGAAACGATAAACACAACGTCTCGTCTTCCACGTAACCGTATATTGTTTCGTCTCGAAGACGGAGCCGCATCGTTTTCGTATTATGCGGTGTCGTTGCATAAGATAATACTTGACTCCCCCGTTCATCCTCTAATCCCGCGAGCTACGCGAATAATCCGATTAAGCATTGCGCTATTGCGCTCCGCGAGCCTGAATGAGTCAGTTCTCTCTCTCTCTCTCTCTCTCTCTCTCTTCTCCTCTTTTTTCCACGGTTATCTTCAACAATCCAGCGAACGTTCGGCAGTTAACTCGAATCGCGGATACAATGGCCGACAGTAAAAAATATATATAGCACAGGACTTCAGCGAGTAGGATGAAAATGCTAACGATCGGGGGACGGTTTCACGGCGCATTTCGACGTGGTTCCATGGCGCCAGGTTGCAGCTCTTAGGTACGTTTTATCGTGTTACCGTGGTTGCATCGCGGTTGTCATAGGTGTCGACTTAGAATGCATCCGGACTTTGGAACGCATCGTAAGAGATATCGAGCGACACGTGCGTCGAATATAAAGAACTGTGTAAAATCGTGTTTATCATTTCTTGAAATAGATTCCTCCATCGACTTTTTGCGAAATCGACGTTGTCTCAGCGGGAATAATAAAAGAGAAAGAGGTTGTTATATTTATGAAAAATTCTAAAAAAAAATTTGATTCCTTGATCCGCGTTAGCAACGTCGAAATAAAATTCAATCCGAAATTTCACTCATGAAAAGCCTTTCGGCCGATAATGACTTTCAATTTGAAAAGTACCTTATCAGTACCTCGCTAGTTCCGTCAATAAAAGATCAGCTTCGATAACTTTATCAATCCACTTCGTTCGAAAATATTATATATCCGCGCGTTTCAACACGCACACTCTACACGGCACACACTGGGGAGTAAACGTAAACGTCTCGCTTGAATCGTGTGCCAGCTCAGCGAGACTCGTTACTTGATTGTTTATCTGTTCTCGATTTCCGTCGATCGTGCTCGTATCCGCGTTACGAGACTGTTGTGACGCGAGCGAGAGCATTATTACGTGTTTCATGGAGTATGTTCCCTTAAAACATTTTCTCACATCAAATAACGTAACAAGAGTTTTGCACAGCCTACGTCTATGCATTCAGTGAGACGTAACTTAATGTTTAAGCCCAAGATATAAAACGTTTCCCCGGCTTTTCCCAGGATCGTTTTCGGTTTAGTAAAGTTTGCTTACGACCGTCGTATCTCGTTATGGAAGAACGCGCGAAGGATGCGCGCAAAAATCCGTCGTTCGCGTCATCGTCACCGACATCGTCGACGTTACCGTATCGTCGTTATCGCTTCTCGTTGGACCAACGTACGGATGCGCTATCCTGCTTGTTGCAAAGGATTACCGTGCAAGAACGGAAGTCCTTCAGACGGGAAAAAATGCGGATTTACTCACCTCGCGGTACATCGCAACGAACATTCCACATTGCACATGCAATCTCCACAAGCGCGCGTATTCTCGAATATGTACCTTGCTGTTCGCACATATATCGTTAATTCCTGAAGCGAATTTCTTGAAAGCGTACGTATCGCCCTGACGGTTTAAGAATAACATATTCCAACGTGGGAATGTTAAAGCTCGCGCATTGTGTATTCAACGGCTCGTTTATACGTTTACGCTATCGCTCATTAATAATCATAACAACGCGAAAGCGTAGTTCTAATTGCGTGTACGATGTATCAGTTGATTAGAATTCAAAGAATATTCACGTGAGCTCACGTGTTTTTCTCGTGCGATAACGTGTAACGCTGATTCTTGATGCGTGACCTCAAATACTCCAACAGCGCGCGCTTATCGTATACTCGTATGTGTGTATGTGTGAACAGAAGAAATATTAATTTCCAGCTATAACGTAACTCTTATATGCGAGCAAGTAAAGCGTTCTCTTGAAATAAACGCTCTGTCCATTGTCACTGAAAACGAACAGCCCCTCCCACGTATCCTCCACTTCGCGCTTTGTACTCACCCTTTAAAAAACGCCCCTTTCTCTTTCACATTTTCATATTACGGTAGTACAGTTAGGCGACGGCGTTGTCTCACCTAACAGTAACGCGCGCCGTCCCCTCGCCACTTTCCACACCAACTCATTTTGAGAATGGTTTAATTTCCTACACGTTGCCGGCTATTTAGCTAGTTCTCGGGCTAGTTTGCATGGGTCCCGAGGAAAAAGGGGATACGGGATGATGTGTGTGTAAAAGGGATTCGCCCCGAGGTGCGAGGAACATAGGCAACGAATAGACTGCGTGCGTGCGCGCGCGCGCGCGTGTGTGTGTGTGTGTGTGTGTAGAATATAGCCACCGTGTAGGTACATGTAGTGAATTACACGATACATCCATCTTACCTACGGTACCTGACTAAATTATTAGATTCACCCTCGCGACTCCTCGCCTCCTCCATCCTCGCGACCGCAGCCGACCCGGACGGTAACTTTTTCCCTCCTCCGTTTCGCCGCGATCCCCCTCGTCTGGATTTTTCTATTAGACCCCTCAAAGCGCTCGTCGAAAAGGTACGCAAAAAGCGATACCGCGGGAAAGAGAAAGAGGCTGACGGAATAAGAGGGAAAGAGAGAGAGAGAGAGAGAGAGAGGGAGAGTAAACTGGGGAACGTCGTAGAGATATTAAAGCGAGTTTCGAAGCGGTTCGCGCGTCGACTACTCGTAAGACGACGAGCAGTCACGAGATTAAACCGTTTTGCGAGGTAGCGGCGAAGTGGTAGCGCGTAACAAGATTTTCCAGTGGTATCGTCCACCGGTGCTGGTTCCGGCCCGTTTATTTCGGATCGCTAGATCCGCTTTGTCGAATATTCCCGAATCGAGAATGCCGAGACGCGCGAAACGCGACGGCTAGCGATTATATCGCGGCGCTTAATTGTACGCTCTGTCTTCATAATTAACCCTTTCTAATCTGAATTTATTTTTGCAAGTGAAAAAAATTTTTTCATTCAATTTATTTTGTCTTTGGGCACGGCAAGAATTATAGTGAGGGAACTTAAAAGTTAGTGATCACAATGTGAATCAGCCGGGCGGAAAGGGCTAATAAAGGAGATATGAGCGATTTAACCTTATTTATTAGTATCGATATTGAGCTTCGTAATCGATAATGGAACGGACAATTTCCGTGCTTTCAAAGTCTATTAACGTCTCTTGGTGTTAAATACCCTCTCCCTGCGAGAAGCGGCGAAGATCAAGATTTTTATGGAGTGAAACGAAGAATAAGCGGAGAAAGAGGAAGAAGGTATCTCCAGGAAAAACGTGCGAGATACGTCACATGCTTAAGAGCTCGAAATTTGATCGTCTCGGGCGTTTCTCGCGATTGAATTCTATTTCTTACCGCCGTCAGGTGTTTGACGCTTGGTTAAATTCGTTTATTCGCGCCGTCGTGAATTTTTTGCCGCCCGTTCCGAGAACAAGCTCCGGGCGCGCAGATTGCGCCTTCCTCGCGCAGCTAAGTTTCATCTCAGTAGGAGCGGAAGGACGAAGAATTTTCATTCCTCGTACAGATAGAATTTCAGCTGTCTGGCTTGAACGTTCGCGTTCCGCGCAGACGCTCGAAATTCGTCGCAGTATTTCGCAGCGTGTTAACGCGCGCGCGCGCTACGCCGTCCCCCTCGTCGGCCCGCCGCTTCGACGCGTTCAATTCCGACTGGGTGCCGTCCGGGTAATTAAAAGATAGCGCATTTCGCTCATCGATCTGACATCGCTCTCCCAGTCGCGCTTTTTACATCCATTAAGATATCGACACGCGCGCGCGATGTGTAACAGCGCTATCAGCGGCGCGGAGTGGCTCCGTAGCGAGTCAAGCGAGCGGTCGCTAACGGGTAACAGCGGTAGTCAGTGTTCCTATCTAACGTCGCCTAATACGGAGACGAGTCTAATCCTGTCTGATCTTGAATAATCTGAACTAATCTCGTGCAATCTAACGGCAGCTTTCGGCGCCGGGTAGGAGCGTCGGAATAGGTCCGTTTTCAATTAGAGGGAACATTTTGCTGATGGCGCCTCTACTCTCTCTCTCTCTCTCCCCCCCCCCCCCCCCCCCNATAGGTCCGTTTTCAATTAGAGGGAACATTTTGCTGATGGCGCCTCTCCTCTCTCTCTCTCTCTCCCCCCCCCTCCCCCCTCTTCTTCCCCTCTTCCCCTCTTACCCAGTTGGATGTCTGCCGAAACTTCGTGCGGATACGGAAGGTTTACGGATATGGATGCCACTGGGAATCTGTCAGTATGAGCAATCCTCATAGATAATCGCCGGATTATGTAACCACATTAGGATTTTCCACAATGCGGCCCTGCGCGCGCAAGCGTACGTGAACTTTCTTACGGACTCGTAACCTGATTAAACTTTAAGTGCGATTAGTCGAGGCTTCGCGTAATCTCACCTTAATGTAATTTGCCGTACGTTTTTAGCGTCCGTTCTACTTTGTCAAAAGTAAAGAGCTATCTTAAGCGCGCAAATTGTATTAGTCTGTCAAGAGATTTCGTTACGATGTGAAAGATATTCTTAAGAAAGACCGCATTTCTATTATATTCTTTATAACTGTGTACATTACATGATGTAAATTTGGTGATAATTTCAGCATAGAGAGAGAGAGAGAGAGAGAGAGAGAAATCAAGAATACTTTTTTGGATTGAAAAGTCTTTT